CCCTTTTTTTCACCCAGGAAGTGCTGTCTTACTGCTACAACTATAGGCTTACTAGCTTCGACCGCAATTTGTCGCCGGCTGATGAGCCGCCGGCCGATACGATCGAATCCACACGGTCATCGCGCACGCGTCTGACCCAGGTATGAGGCGATCATATCGGTAATAGAGCTGTCTGGTCCGTTACACGACTTCCTGCTCATTTCTTTGCCACAACCCCTGCGATCCTTGTGACAGACATCCTTAGTAAAGCAGCAACTTTGGTTTCTAATGCAGTACTATCCAAAGGTGCACCATGCCAAAATGGAAGATTCGTCCAGTATTCTTAGTTGGTCTCATTTTGAACAGTGAGCAATCGTACGATTCAGCAGCGCGACTCGTGCAATAAATAGAAATTCTTCCAGCCGTCTTCCAGGCATCGACAGCTGGAAAGTTTTCCCTTTACTTCGTAGTTTTTTGTTGAAGAAATCTTGAGAAAGTCGTACTACGATGCCGGTGAATTCCGAGAACCACTTCATTCAGGTTCTTTTCGTGAATTCGAGTTTCCTTTTCTTTCTTTTTTCGCTGTTTTTTTTCAACCAATGCGGCAGCATCGATAATTCCTTTAATAATTTTAGAATGTTTCACGTTTTTGGTTCCTAATAATCCTTGAAAAAAAGCACATACAAAAAGTGCAAAAAAAAGTACATAAAAAAGTACATACTTGTGTGCATCTACATATGTCTATTTATATCCTTGTGTTGCATCCGCCATATACACTTACGGAATATCTCTTTGCTACTGAATCTCGCCTGAACCATTATTTTTAGCATTTACCAAAAAGGGCAGTCTGTACAAAGACCCGGATTTTCTATGTATTTCTTAGTAAAAATGTTTTTAAATAAACATTCTGTCTACAATCTCCGCTTAATTTATCACCATAAATCACACGAAGTAAACAAATGAAATTCCGGCTAAAGTTAAACTACATACTGTTATTAGGGCCGAATAAAAACTGAATGATTTAACTACCCTTCCCAAAAATGTAGGAACTGACTGGAAAATTCAAAATTTCGAGAAGGAGAAGGACACGCAGCCCTTATTATCTCTTCTCCGAAGCTGTGCTGCTCTCCATTTCTCAAGCACCCAGATTTACAGCTTATTCCGAATTATTAGAGTTCAAATATATCTGAAACATTATTCAGTCTTAGATGTGTAGGATACCACTGTCGGTTACCCTACATTTTCTGTTTTCTGTACTTTGTTTGCTGCTACATATTTCCTTAGGGGAAAATTCTGGTTCCGCTCCTTCTCTCTCATTGAATCAAGAGATACATTATAACAGTCATTCACAGCGCAAAGCTTTGTATTCCACCTTTTTCGTCCTCTTCTGCTAGTGACTCTTAACAGGGAGGAGTTTGATTTGGTGAAAAACGCTCTAAACGAGTGTCAGTACACTTAAGTGCCCTTTGTTTACCGAATGACTACGAATTACTAATTATTACTTACATGAGCAATCAATCCAAAGAAAAATGGGAAAAAAGCCTCCTAGTCGAGATAAAAATGAAAATTCACATTCTTTTCGTAATTATCATATAACCATGGTGAAGACACACTGGTATAACATTCACAGGAATAGTCACTACTAGCTACTCCTTTCAATCTTCTCCTCTTTAACATAATTGTTATAATTACTATTAATTTTTGATGTAGGATGCTTGTCTCTATCCTAGCGAACGAGTTGCATTCGTTTGTAGGCCTTTTTCGGGAAATGGCGACACTTTCGCTGGCGTATGGATAAGCTACTTGACATCATAGTTCAGGAGAGCACTTGAAGTGCGGAATCCTTCAAATCTTCGCTCACCTCTCACCAACACCTGACATTTTTCCAACTGCATAGGCGATACTACGAGGACGATCAGCTGAATGTTTCGCTCTTCCTAGTGGTTTTT